CAACGTCGCTTTCCAACCAGATAAACAGATGTTTAGAGAGAATTATACATGAAACCATTACTTAAAAGTTAAAACTCAAAGAAAACATGTTTCTTTGCTTAATAATACTATTATTGTTATTATCTAACTGTTTTTGGAGGGGAAGAATTGAGAGAATATTGGACTGATATGATCTTGTATTGGGTTGATCAGATTTTAAGTTAGCAGATAAAAATGAGCGGCAAAATCAAGCACAATTTTTTACATCGAGTGCTGTACTGTTTTGTATTGTATTGTTATGATTTGACAAGGACAAGCGATCACGACGACGCCCACCTAGGAGACAGGAAGTGTATACCATTTCATACTATCGCTGCTGCTTGTAACGTGTCATCTTTGTTATAGAGTACCTTTGCCTATACTCAGTGCTACAGAATGGTTTTAAACTCGAGTACATTTCTTTGTAAATCTCATGATTTCCAGGCTGCTTACTGATGATATCAAAAATCATTGGCTATAAAGCTAAAAAGGGGGAAATGATATAAAGTCGTACGTATGACTCAAATGATCTACCACTTGCTCTTATTACTGCTCCGATCCACTTGTAGCTTTGTACGTCCTTGCCTCTTAAAAGCTAAGGTCGTGCCCAGACCATTAAAGTATGGAGAGAGAAATGACATCTGTCTGTTAGAGATCCATGAATAGAACAGAGGAGCAGAGATAGAGGCGGGAGCAGTAGAGCATGGCTCCAGGATTTAGATCAGTGAGATTTGCATCATTGGCAGGTCTTTAGGCAGGGCAGGTCTAATCTCCTGCAGACAGGCTTAAGAAAAGAAAACCTGACTGTTGTGTCTCTACAGATAGGGATTTCAGTAATTAGCATAGTTAATAAGAGAGGGTGTACAGAGTCATATTCAAAGGTGTCAAGTCTAAGGGGAAGATAACACAGGAATAAGAAGGCAGCAATACAAGGATGCACAACTGTGCCAAAGTTCAGCCCCATATACATGTATGAACTTGGCCATAAACATCTGCTTGGAGCCACAACTCATGAATCGCTATGGCAACTATGGCAATCTACTCATGCTTGAAAAGTGATTCATTCATGTAACCCTGTGCCTTAACTGCCAGGTCAATGTCACAAATTAAAAGAAGCGAAGGAACTTCAACGTAATTGTTTTCACCACTTTAATAATTATCATGGCATCCACGCCGAGGCTAATCAAACTAGCTTGTCAAATTTTGACATCCAAAGCCAAAGTGTCTGGGGCTGTATCATTAGTGTACAACTTCTGGTTGTGAAGAGACATGTTATGTTCTGAGTAGCTTCTTTATTGGCCTCTTAATTTCCACTGGCAGCAGCCATGTTGCTCTATAAGACAGTGTGTGTTCACTCATAAAGTAACAGCACCATCATTGTTTTTATGTCACAGAAACCAAATAAACAGATGACCAGATTGACCCAGTCCAAATTTCCTTGCATTGATGAAGCCAAGTCAGGTCCACATGACTTGGAAAAAAAAGTTCACAGGGAGTGGCTCCAGGCAAACTCAATTATGAAATCCAAATGACACTTACGATATGTTTGAAGATCTAATTTCAAAGATGATTGATAAGCTTGTATGGCAGCTGAACATAATCTTCAACATGCTGCACTTTTAATGAATTACAGCTGTCAGCAATCACTGACACTGTTTTCTCAACTAATTTTCAGCATCACTCCCACTTCTCCCTCATTATCTACACTGGAACAACAGCAGAAGTTAAGCTGATAGGAGTGCATTCACTCATTGCATTCCTCATTTCCGAGGCTGCCAACAATTCCTAATGACTGCAGCCCTTCTAAATTATTGAAAAAGCCTAAGCACCTCACCAGCTACAGAAATGGCTATTAACCTTGGTGAAGCGATATTCAAATCCAGTTAGAGCTAACTTTGTCCTCCAGTATCCCTTGCGGGGAGGAAATGTAAATGTGTTCTTGCTGAGACAGATGGGGAAGCTGCCCGTCGTTTGAAGTTCCAGCAAAAGAAGTCGTTGCAAGCAGAGGGCTCTCCACCCCCCTCTGTAAAATATTCAGGACTGAGTCTCATTGAGCCACCTCTCTTCCCAGTGTTTTCCTTCAAACCATGCTGGGCTTCAACACTGCTAGATTATTAGTAAGCAGGAACACCTCACAAAAAATAAAAACTTAACAAACGTTTACAAATTCACCACTGTGCAGCGACAGTGAAAAACAGCCTGAGGATTATCTCGCTGTGCAGACAAGAATTCAGGAGATTTGATTTATGAGAGAGAGAGAGACAGAGAGAGAGAGAGAGAGAGAGAGAGAGAGAGCAGGAAAAAAAACAGAACATCCCACTCGCCCTTTAAGAGCATCCTGGAGCGTAACCATCTGAATATTGTGATGTCCTCTGCATTGTTGTTGACATATCATCACAAATTGAATTCCTCGGCTTAGCTGACATTCTGTCAAAGATGATTTGATTCTGTTGTAGATATACCTGGTTGTCAATCAGTTTAGGCTCTGATACTGTGCTACAGACCAGAGAGAATCCCTGATCATTACTCTTATCTCCCCTGGTCCAAGAGAGAGAGGAAGAGAAAGAAAGAAAAATTAAGAAAGAAAGAAAGAAAGAAAGAAATAAAGAAAGAAATAGAAGCACTAAAGGGGAAGCAGGTACAAATTCCAATAAATGTGAGATTACAAGTGTTTGCAAGCCTGTACTTTTTAAATCTATGTCACATGTGCAATTGCAAAATTAAGAAATACATTCTGGGACATCCAAGAGAAAAATTCAACAAAAACAATATTATGATCTCAGTATCAGAGATAAGGGTTTGTTCTTATCTACTCAAGCTATAATACATTACTTGGGTTTAAATGTTATCAGTTAATTTTGGATGGACGTTCATAACAATGGCTGTGTATAAAAACTTTTTAAAAAATTTGGATGAATTTTACATTTCCCGCAAACCTCTACAAACTTCTTGTAATTTCTAATTAAATATATTCATTTTAATCTTACGTGTTAATGGGCACATACCTAAATACCTGACAATTCATCTCAGCAACCTAATTGGGTCTCCCTTTGCCTTCAGAGCAGCTTTCCCTGTCATACGCACTCTGAACAGTGTTTCCTAGGATACTGAATCATTCTCCAATGAGACATTTCTTCAGTTGTTTGAGGAAAAATTTGTCTTTGATGCATGGCTAAATCAGTAAAAGGTCACATTCAAAAAGTACGGTCACACCTCCAACGTCTTGAGACCTTATTTATCTAAAATCAACATGGTAAAAAGTTAAGTGAAAATGTCAAACATTTGTAGATTCCTTCTGCAGTGCAAACAATGGTCTTTCAGTCAAAATAAGCAATTGGAAAAAAAACAGTTCATCGTAACCTTGAGATTACAATATTTATTAGATTTAAAAATGATTGATTAATAAAAAAACATCATTGATGGATTACTTAATAGACTGATACCCAATTACTATGTTTATTCTAACTTTATTATAAGCAGGAGGAGTGAGATTGAAGAAAAGTGAGATTTTTTTAATTGATTGGTATTGCCTGTATAAAACATAATACACAGTTCTATGTTTATTACAATAACAACAGAAAGCCTGGTTCTGCCCGAGGTTTCATTTTGTTGCTGATGGTGGAATGTTGGTTTTGTGTAAATAAGTCTAGACTATATTTGTATGAAAATAGCCCTAAGATAATTTCTGTAATGATTTGGTGCTGTATAAATAAAACTGACTCGACTTTACCCCAGTTGTCAAAAAAAAATCCACTCAGTCTAAAACAGAGCTAAAGACGGAGGGCTCCATCCGTACCAGAAACTATCAGGGCAATGCAGCAAAAGCAGATATTAAAAAAGTAAATATGACATGAGATTAGAAAAGTCCAACTGTACTATTTTAACACAGTACCAAACAGTATGTCTGCATGACTGGACCAATGTTTACAGTATCAACAGTTTCCTGCTTTATCTTTTCAGTCAGGACATCAGCACTAGTGTTACAAAAATTTCTACAGACACACTTCCAATAAAGACAAGATCATTCCTACTGACTGAGAAGAAACACATCAAACGGAGGCACAGCTGGCAGAAGAACATGATGATTTATTTATCCGCTTGTCCTGAAGCTTTGAAATTAAATTACAAAAACACAACTCTGCTTTTCTTCTCTGTAAGAGTGAATTTGTTTGTTAGTCAATACAAGGCAGAGGGATTTATTTCGGGTTACTTTTTTTGTGGCTTTGGCAGCATTTTGTTTGTAATCATAAGGGCTAATGCTTTGTTTTCGAAGTGGATAACGATGTAACTACAATCATTTGCCATTGCTTACACAGAAAGCAAAATCGGATGCATTCTGCCAAAAGTTGTTCACAGCTCACAAACAGATACTGCAGGATCAAAGTGCAGGAGTTAACCTTTTCACTGTGTGGTTATCTGAAATAGTGCTGCTGTCAGAAACTTCAGGCACAGCATATCTAACCTGAGCTGGTTTTATAACTACACTGTGAACATGTACTGTCCGTGCTGTTAATGATAAACCACTTCTACAGCCCACTTTAGAAGCATGATTTAAAATTAAAATATGAAACTATAAACCCTGACACATTTTATATTTAAGTCAAGAGTGACAGACAAATCTATACTTAGCATTTTGAAGCAATCAGAGAGGACTTCATTAGTGACCAGTTTGGGGAAGTTTTACTAAAAAGCTTCTGTCAAATAGCTGTAATTTTCAAGTGGAGCACTTAGTCCATGACATATGATTACAGTTATTACAGGACCTGTAGGGTTGCAGTGAAGAGAGGCGCGTTACATCAGCAGAGGACTGTTACCCTCTTCAACTTTGATCTGTCAAACCTCTCTCCGCTGTGACATGCTAACATGCTAGCAAGGTAGCGACACTAACAGCTCCCTGAGACGACGACAACGGACATGCGACAGCAGAACCGGCTCGTGACAGGAGGGAAATGCATTCTCGGTAACGTGACCGGTAAGAGTACCTTGAGTTTGTCAAGAAGAATGTGTTTTGAGGTGGCTGTCCTCAGTCCTCTTGCTGCAGCCTGGGATGCCATGGATGCCGCCATATTGACACGGAAAACCAAAGAGAGATGACGTCGCGAGCATGTGCGTGTTAAACGCGGGGCCGTTCATAGGTCAACAGGCAGACGTGGGCGGTGCTTCAGAAAGATGCACACATGCACACAGTCCTAAGTTCAGGATGCATGTGTGTTCACATTTGTCCATACAGTCTTGTTAATGTGTTCGGTGGTAGTGGTTCAACAAAACATGATATTCAGCTCTGTTATTCTTTGAATGTTCAGTGTGAAAGTTTTTTGATTTTTTACCCAAATTAAAAGGAAAAATCCTCACCTGCACAGTCGGAGCCACCATGACATTCAGGTCATGTCATTGATAACACTGGAAATTTGGGGGTTTCAACAACCTGAGGAGGAGTTCACATTCTGAAGTGACATGTGTTACAGGCTACATGAGTCTTTTATGTCTGCTTTTTCTAGGGTCCAAACTCTACAGTAAATGTTTCACCAAAAAGACAAAGCGTACTAAAGGGATATTGTATTTCTTCATTAGTTATTGATTATATGTTTATATGTTTGCCTTACAAATAGAAAATGTATTTTAACAGTTACATTAGTAAAGATTGTATCGAGCAATTTCCATTCCTACTGAGGAATGCTGCTCCTTTCTTTGCAGAGGAAGGTGAACTGGATGATTGTGTGTGTGTGTGTGTGTGTGTGTGTGTGTGTGTGTGTGTGTGTGTGTGTGTGTGTGTAAATGGTTAAAACAGCTTAGAAACTTGGATCAAGAGGAGAAATTTAACTATGGCAAAGAACAGTGTTCTAATTGAAGTGGATTAGACTATGTATTACACCTACAGTATGTATGACTTGAATTGGGTTTATAATATGCTATTTGAGATTAACTGGCGCATGTAAGGCCTCATTTTGGTTGTATATGTTTTGATTCGTGAAAAGATGTATGAATACATGGACAATGATGTATGCACATATTAATTATATCCCACTGTTGGAAACCTTTTGTGGTTTAATATAAGCAGGTTGTCTGTATATGTTTAAACATTCATGAGGTCAATGAGTTATTTTTCTTAGTTGCTGTGCTATAAGATGTTAATGGGAAGAGCCTAAATATAGTGATTTTAGTTTGTTGCTGATGAATGTGTCTGAATAATCCCATAACGGATTGGTCAAGATCAGCATGCATCATGCATACATTCATATTTACTAGTTTATTCATATTTATGGCAGTATACTGTACACTTAAAGTGTATGGTAGTAATTTATCAAAAGTTCACTCAGTCCAATGAAAACATCGATGTCTGAAATTCTGGCTGCACTGCAAGGGGAATTAATTATTTGTGCTGTTAAATGTTGATGATGTGTATGCAGGAGTTTTGGTTTTGAATAACCTGAGGAAAGGATTCTATAAATAAGCAGACACAAAAATGCAGCTATTGAACCCTGTAAGGTACAGTAATCACAATACATCTTTATACAGTAATTGTCAATGGATTTGAGTTAAATACTTGCTCGTTTTAACCATGTGATTTACATGAACTGATTAGACACTGAAAGGCCTAACATATATTTAAAATGTCTGAGCATCATCCAGCGTGTGACCTTGTGAGTGGGACAAACAATCGCTGTGCTCAGCTGAGCAGCATTGGTAGGGAGTCGAGTTAGAGAGCGTGGGATGTGTGAGCTGATCTTGTCTGAATAGCTAAATAGCCCACTCACACATTCCTCCAGAGCCCTCATTACATGCCGCATCTTGAAAGGGCAGAGAGGGCAAACCGATCATAAAGAGCAGTGATTATGACACAGGGAGAGAGAGAGGGATGAGATACTCACTTAGAAACCATCAGTGTCAGCAAGCTGGGGAGGACAAGACAGAGGGGAGGAGATGATGATGAACAGCTACAACCAAGAGATCTTTCTCTAAGGCATGCTATGGTCAAATACTTAAATGTAAAAGCTTGAAAAACTTTTAAAAAAGTGCAAATGTGAAGCACTTTAATATCAACTAGGGTGGAATTTGCCTCATGTTTATTTGATATTTTTGCTTCCAACCCCCTTCTTTTGGGTGAGAGCTTTTGACAGTCAGTGATCCATATTCCACACGGTGAAATATTCTTTGGTTGCTGGCCTTTTTAATGTAACCACAGTAAGAACACAAATGAAGTGAAAAGTGCTGCACTGGCATAATATTTCAGTATGTCAACATATCCTGCCGAATGCATAAAATGCCTGCTCTTGTCTCTTTGTGTCACTGAAGAGTGGCAACGCTCATCTTAAGTTTAAAAATTCACGAGGAGCCAAAGCCACGCAGAATGACTAAAAGATGATTCACTTGAACATTTTCAGGCTCTTGTTTCTTTTTTTCTTTGTCTCACCAGGGACATTTTTCTCCTCTCAAGGGAATTGCTATTCAGACAGGACTGTCAGAATATCAATGGCCCTTACTAATGCAATTCAACTTTTCTCATTTGGGATGTTGTCCTGTCTCGCAGAACAAAAACTGTTTTTGTCTGCAGTGTGATCACAATCATGTAATCATTCTCCCAGAATACAAAGTAACTAGTGCTGCCTCTTCTTGCATATAGACCTTAAATCTTGAATTTATGACAAATTTTGGATTTTGAGTTCAAAGGTCACTTGACAAAGAAGCCACAGAAGGCTCATGTCTCTTATATCTTTGTATTATTTCATCCAAACCTTCATAATAGCCTCTATTGATACACTATTCTAGAATTAAGAAAATGTATAAAACAATCCATAATGTTCAGTAATGCACACCACCAGAAAAGCAGGGTATTTAGTTCTTGTACTTGCCTCAAGGCTTTAATTAAAACAGGAAACAAACTAAAGAATAAAAGCCAACACACTAAACGCAGGACTTAAAAAGTCTTAAAGATTTTGGCCGGTTAGGTATCAAGCCATTGCCATAAAAAAGCTGTAATACAATCATGTTTTCCTTCAACACTTAAATGGATTACATAAGATGAGTTTATATGTTGCTTTTCCTGTCACTGTAGGTTTTCTTGTTTAAGGTGTAATTGACATTTTATGACACTGAATAAAGTTATGTTCCCATGAATGTCTATGACTCTGGTAATTCATCATTTGAGATATTATTATTATTAATAAATCAAAAACAAGCTTTTTGTTTACAGATATCATGTAACAGAAAATGGTAGTGCATGGAATTCAAATAATACATGTAATACAATATTTAGGATTTTTGATAATAATAATGAATTGTAATACAAGCAACTAAAACTAAACTGAGAGGACAGAACAGCATGTGTGGGTAGATATCAAACATCTGAACTTTCACAGATACAGCGTACAGAGTAGCTGTGTGTAGCTGTGAAAATCCACGTTTCATATCAGTCACCAAACATATGTGATGAATTCGCACATTTTTATCGTACTTCCTGATTATTTTCCCTGTTGTAGCCATTCCTCATCCCTCTGTTCCTCTCCCCCCGAGGAATGTGAGCAAATGTGGAGGCGCAGCAACTAATTTGCGGCTTCCCTCAATAATCTATCGTCAGTTTCCACTCAGTGAGCTGCAAGCTGTCAGAGTACCAGAACCACAGCTCCCAACAGGCCGTGTGGTCAGCTCTAACCCTTCCCTGACACTCCTAGCAGCACGGTGCTCGCAGCTAGGAGCTGATATCCTAAACCTGCCCGGAGTCTGGACTGCACTGTCGATCTATGTTTACCGCCCTCTCCTTTTCACCTCAGTCTCTGGTGTCTCCCTCTTTCTCTGTTTCCACTTGCCGTGCTACTTTCACTCTTAGCTTGCCCTCTTTTGTTCTCCCTGTGTCTTTTTGTTTCTGCTCTCCTTTCGTCTGTGTGCGTCTTCGTCTCTCTGACCCTCCTGTTAACCACATTTCCCAGATGTATGTTCAAAAGAGAATTCTGCACAGTCCTCCTGACTGCAGGGCCCTCTTCAAAAGTCAATGAGACAATTACAGCAAGGCTCTGTCCATCTCATTAACGTGACTGCCTGGACAGCGTAGCATAGCAGAATACCAGAAAGAGAAAGAGGAATCCGCAAGCATTTGAAAGGTTTTGCTTCTCCGTGTGTCTGTCTGTCTCACACACTCTCACACACTCGCACTGGAGTCTGGACGCCTTAATGACCCTTTCTCTGACTGAATGCAGATAGGTCCATTTCTTTTTATTCACCCTGCACTCACACTGCGTCTGTCAGACTTTAAGAAAAGCAGACATGTCCAAGCACCAACTTACTAGGTTTGACCTCTGTGAATATATGTATATGATGCACTGAGGCCAGAAGTACACATAGTGCATACAAGTGGGCACATCGGTGCACATAAGTTGTGAAAGTAGCTATTCAGCTTTGTAACAGTGTTGTGATCCTACTCAAAGCTTGAGTTTTAGACTCTGTTTTACTATATGTTTACATAAAGATTTACGTGGTATTAGCAAGCCAGAGTACAGTTTTGTTTTTATCCAACAGAATAGCAAATGAGTGAGAGAGATGGGGAATTAATGCACTTAACTGCTGAGTCAACAAGCAAGGAATCTAGCAGCTTAGTCACAGAGAAAGCGAGCAGACTGCCTGACAGGGAAATTAAAATAGACAAGAAAGACGCTACAAGACACCCGAGTGACAGAGATTGGACAAAGAAAGCGAAGAGAAAAGTGAAAGAGATGGGCAGAGGAGGGGATGGTCATTGCCGCCCTGTGCTCAGCACATCTTTTGAGATGACAGACGGCAAACATAATTAGTCATCATTTTTTGTGCTAACCCTTGGAGTTCACAATGTCACCGCTATGCATATGTATGAGCTTGAGCCCTCTCTTTCATCCTTCCATGTGTTCCCAAAGAGTTTGGACAGATTAAGACACAGTAAACATTTTTCACTCCAGAAGAGGAGCAGGGCAGACTTTTCACTGAGTGCTGACTGCCATACCTCAGCATCACCCACAATAACTTTCACTTTTCCACCGTAAAATCCATAACAGCCCAAGAACATAAGATTGCCAAAACCTGGCTTGTGTCTGC